CTATTAGAAGGACATTTATGTCTTTTACACAGTTAAATATTGAAAACCAAGTCCCTTTTTGCTTTTTGGGTGGAAAATGTTATTTTGTTTTTGTCTCATTGACATCATTTTCGGTATGGGTATTGTGCATGTTAAACATATTATAACATGTTCTTATTCTAAGTAACAATTTGACACTACATACCATATGAACAAATAATTGACTTACTATGGTTGTATAGGGCTCAGCAAAAAATTTGCCTTCTGGTTGTACGTCTAGTATGAACCCTGGTTTAGTAAGCACTCACATCCCTCTAATTTCATCATTTTTGTCACTTTGTTGCACAACAATACTGATTTTCCAAAATTTGATTGGTCTTGCAGTGTTTCTACCCTCAATATGCTGTGCCTTATATCCAAACGCCTATGTTCATATTAAACTCGGCTTATGACACTTGGCAGGTTAGTAATACGTACATGTCTATTACATCACATTAAATCGTTATCCAATGTTTCTCATCACTTTTCTTTGAAATTATGTAAATTTTATCAAGATATACAACATTTTGGCATCATATGAAGCCGATCCTAGTGGCAGTTTCACCAAGTGTAAGACAACATTAAATGAATGCTCCACAAGTGAACTTCAACGATTTAAAGGTGACCAATGTCATTACCTTTCTATATAGCGTCAGTTTCAACCGTTGTAAAGTTTGAATCTCAATCTTAAATGTTTTGTGCTACAGATTTTCGTTCAGAGTTTTTAGGAGCCGTTTCAGCCATTGGTAATAGTTCTTCCAAAGGAATGTTTATCAACACTTGTTACACTCACTGTCAATCTGAAGATCAATCAGCATGGTTCGGAAAACCTACTTCAAAATTGTATGATAAGGTAAAATGTTCTTTCACTTGTTACATTCCTGTTATATGTCTTAAAAAAATTAATAACTTAAAAAGTATTAATATATATTTAATCTTTTTTGTCACAGACAATGGCAGAGGCTGTTGGTGATTGGTTTTATGAGAAATACGACTGGCGAATGATTGATAACGAGAATGTGTTGCCACACTATTGTTAAAAATCACTCGATCATTGCAAGCATATAAAGACATGAGTGTAACATTCTCAAATAGGGTTGTGTGTATTTTCTTTGTTTAAAGATAGTTCTCTTGTACTCATGGAATAAAGATAAGTCGGCAAATAATAAGCATAAATTATAAATAGTATATAACAATTATATGTACGTTATATATGTGCATCTTGTAATAAAATAGATGATACCCTCCATTGTTGTTTGCATACATTTTCTTTTTCTTTAATTCTCGTGATACATAGGTTGTCGTCTGTGGAATTGTTGTTAGCTAGCCCACGGACCATGTTGCTGTGGTACGTACCAAACTCACATGGAGATCACAAGTTTTTAATAATTATAGTTTATATAAATTTGGAAAGTAGACATGGTTATATAAAAGGTAATATAAAACATGGGTCAAGGAATAATGGTTATTTGTTGTTTTCTGATTTGAATAAATAATTACATTTTTGACATTTTTTCTTTAAACTAGAAAGGTTACCCCGCTACGCGGGGCCAGAAGCTTTCAATGTTGTTTCCGAATTGATAAATATGACAGACATAGAAAGTGCAAGGATGAAAAGTCTGGGCTTTGCCCCGGACAAAAAATGTAAAAGTTTTGACTGCAAGAACCAGAAGTTGAAAATGGCTAAAGAATTAAAGGGGTAGGAATTAGCAACTTTTTAGAAAAGGGATCAAAGTTGTCAAACCGTTAAAGTTTTGTGGCCAAACTTTAAATATTAAAAGGTTCGAAAAAAGTGTAAAAATATTGATTGCAAGGACCAAAAGTGTTAAAATGGGTAAAGAATAATGAGCAAAGTTGCCAAAAAAACACCCAAATTTAGTATTCCTAACTTCCAACAATAATACAGGGACCAATTCTGCCAAAAAAATGGGAAGTTGAATGGAACACAAACAAAAGGACATGAATAAATTAATTAAAGAAGTATAGGGACCGGATATGTAAATCAAGGGGCCAAACCTGGACAAAATATGTCAACTTCACTATTCCTTTCTTCCACAACTTTAATATATATATAATAATGTGGTATATATATATATATATATATATATATATATGGACCATACTTATGTATTATTTTTTTAAAGACGAGATATATTTTGAATCCATCGTTAATTTACCATGTCAATGTTAATTTTGGTTTAAAATTGTTTTATTTTATCATGCTAATAAAATTATAAAGAATTTGGCGTATGTTCTTTTGTGGTTGGGTGGTGAGGTTTGTTGTTTGCTACAAGCCTTTGGCACTTTTATATAGTGGTTAATTATAAATCACGAGACCACATTTTCCAAGCAACTGCCCCACCGCATCCATAAATATTTTTCAATGTTTTTCTAAGAGATTATTTTAATAAATAATTATGATTTTTAAGAAATACGCAAACAAAAAGAGTATACTGACAAGTCCATCAAGTTGCAACTCGAAAAGATTTGACTCTATTCGAATTTTATCGATTTTGCCTTGTTACCTTGATCGCTCTGGTCATCCATTGTCATCCATTTTGCATCTTTACTAAATAGTATATGATATTGCTAACTTTATTTTCTGTAAGAATCATAGAGGTAAATTACTTTTTCACGTCTCTAACATTTTAATAAAAATTACAACTTATTTGTAGAAAAGAACCCTTGTCCGTTTCCAAACTAAGATTCTAATTTCAATTTTGTTTGGTTTATTGTTTTTCATGATGTGGACTTTGATCGACGACTTTTTTTAAATCTTGTCATATTAAATTTCAAACGAACACTGAACAATAATTTTAAAATTATTTTCATTTATATCAATTCGATCAAAAATGCAAAAAAGATAATAGAAATGCTCCAGTTTTGAGTGAATCGTTACTTTCACAAAGTTTTATTAATTGATCAAACATTAAAACTTAAACTTTTAAAAGGAAAAATTAGGCTCCACTCGATAATCTAATTGGCCACCTCGATAACCGAATCGTCTCTCCATTAGGCTCCACTCGTGAATCGACATCATCGCCTCATGAATCGACATCAGAACTTGATAAGGGATTCAAGAGTGGAATTAACATCTAAGAATCGTCTATCGTCATCTACTGTGTTTCCGTCTCTCAGTCTCGCTTGAATCGTCACCTGACTCACATGCTCTCGTCTCCTACAATCGGAATCGACTTCCCTTGTGTTTCTAAGTTCTAACTCTCGTTTCTCTCAGACTCACTCACGTTCTCCTTGTATTTCTCACTCTCGACTCTTGACCATGCCTATCGGTTCTGACTCAGTGACTGTATTTTGTTACTGAAATTTTGGTGGGATGTCAAGTCCACCAAGCAAATTACATCATTTGTTTGCAAATAAAACGTAATATAATGGTAAAAAGGGGTATCGATCATCGGGGAAAATGGTTGTATTCAATCACCAATGCAATCTAATAGAACTAGTGTAAATAAACTAACTAACTACAATTAAACTAAAAGGGGGTGTTGTGATTGCTTGAAAACTAAAAGACTTGAATAACTATAAAGCTTGCAATTAAGCAAGATGGTGAGATGCTCAAATGTTGGGAACAATTGGTTAACCAAGGCAATTTAACACAATGAACATTTGTGTGTTTATCATTAGGATTCAATACAAAGCTTATCATTCATCCCAAATTGGTTATAGCAATCATGAAGCATGATATGCCAAGATTCCTCATAAGTAGTATGGAGGTTGGGGAAGCCCACAACCCACCTTTTTAATCAAAATCAAAGATCCCCATTGAAGCCATTGAACCCAAGAAGTTAATTAGCCTTAAGAATGAAGGAATCCCCAATTCCTAGAGGATGTCAATGCTTACACATCCATAAAGGAGCTATGATTCATAAGCTAGAGATGATTTTTACCATCATATAGCTCTTGTTCTAAGTAAATTCAATGATTCAATGCTAAACCAATGAAATAAACCAACGATTGCTTATTAAAGTACCAAGCTCATGATCAAAGCACTAAACAAGCATAGGAAATATGAACTAGAATAATAGACATAAGATAAATGATAAATAAGCATAAATCCTTCAAAACCCCACAAATATTCAGAGGTTTTAGCCAAGGTCTACCAAAATAGAGAGTTTAGCCACTCATGAAAATAGAACAACAATCACAAAAATCTAATTGCATAAAGAAACTACCAAATAACTTGGAAAGATGAAAAGAAATGAGTCTTGAGCTTCAAAATCCCTTCTTCACCTCTCCAATGGTGTCAAATCGAGAGTCTGGCTGCTAGATCTCATCCCCCAAGGTTATGGTGTGCCAAATGACCAAAATGCTCAAACTGGGCAGTTGCGCGGGTACCCACCTCAACGAAAATTTCACTCGCGCAAGTGTTGCTGTAATGCTATTGGCTCCTCATTCCTCCACTCCACCCTTCCACTACCAAAGATTCCTTTGGTCCCCTCCATATCCATGTGATTTAAACCAACCAATCATCATTTAGCTTCAAAAATATGGATGCTCCAAGCCCAAAATAAAAGTCCAAGATCCATCTTCACAAGCCCAAAATATCCAAGTCTTTAACTCTTAAGGCCCAAATCTCCTTTTATGGATCCGCCAAGCCCAACAATGCATCGGAAAGCCCACTAAGCCCAACTCCAGTCAAACCACAACCGCAATGAGCTCCAAAACCCTGTAAAATTCCTCATGCAAAATAAAAAGTCCCCGATACGATCCATGATAAAGAAAATAAAGAATATACAATGCAATACTAATAAAAAAAGCTAAAAATCTAAAATAAACTAATAAAAATAAGGAAATAAAATAAACTATCAATTTTGCTTATCATTCTAGGTTATGTTAGATTTTTGTTTCTGAAATGCTATATCTTTTGTTTGTATATCAGATTTTTGAAGTCTGTTTATTAAGAAACAGTGAAACTCAATGCTATAAGTTTCAGAATTTTCACTCAATTATGTAATATGTTTGTAGATTTTTGTATGTAATTCTATAATCAGAATATTCTTTATGTTCCAAATTTTCTAATGTTTTTCATTTGACTTGATTCTTTGGGTGTTTCAGCTTCAAAGAATTTAGATATTTGACTTTGTAAAGTAATATTGTAATGCGAACAGGTGGTTATAGATTTTTTATTCTATTTTAGTTATTGTTTTTGTGATTGTTTTTATTTTATTTTTTTATTTTACAACTTCCTTTGGTATTAGTCTTCCACAAATTTGGCAAAAAAATTAGATGTATACTTTTCTTAAAGTAGTATTTACTAAAATATAGTGTATGGGTTGAAATTTTTAACTTTCTTAAAGTTGCGGATCCAAAATGTTTTTATTGCATATAGAAAGTATTTTCTTTTAAATTTGCTCTTGTTCTTAAACAATGTGGCTATATTTGTGTTTATGATGATATTATTAATGAATTTTATAAATGATTTATTTTAATCTTTTTTATATTTGACGTTGGGAGCCTTTTTTTCTCGCCCCGGGCCCAATATATGGTTGGACCGACACTGATTCAAATTTATGGACATCTCACTTTACCAGTATTAGTGTCTTTAAATCTTACATTATGTTTTTTGGATGGTTTTTTTCATTTTTTGTGGGTTTTTCTTATGTGTGTAAAATATTATGTTTATATTGTTTTTTTAACTTTAGAGCGTATGTTAAAATTAGTTTAAAACTAACATTGTAACGTCTTGTTTCCGTTTAATAATTTCGAAATAAAGCTGATAAATAGTTGAGTAATTAAATAATTAAAGACTAAATTATTTAAGTTTGGCAAGTGAATTAATTTAAATAAAAGGCAGTATATAGATGTAAATGGGTTAAACTAATACTAATATTAATATTAATATTAGAGAAAATGACAAATTTAGCCAATTACACTAATTACATTACAAATTTAGCCAAAAAAAATCGAAATTACAAATTTGGCCACTGATTTCGCAGATGGAATAGCCCCATCTGCGATTTGGGTTTTCCATCTGCGAATGTACAAGCGGCTAAAACGCAGTTGTGCTTTAGCCGCTTGTACATTCACAGATGGAAAAGTCCATCTGTGATACTGTAGCCATCTGCGATTTTATGCCGATTTTCTTATATTTTTTTTCTTCATTTTTCACTCTTCATTACAGAAAAACTCTCTTTCTCGGGGATTCCTTTTGACGATTTTTTGAAGAAAA